TGTAGTGGTAATTAATTTATTGATCAAAATTGATTGAATAAATAAAAGTCAGTGAGTTGAGTTTAATGAGCTCGAAGGGAGGTTAGACAAGATGAGAAGGTAAGAGGATTATTGAAAAACAATATCTTAATTATTGGATGCACCCTAAATATATATGAAATGAAAAAATATTTATATTTTTTATAACATATGAAATGAAATTATATATATATATATATATATATATATATATATATATATATATATATATATATATATATAGGAGTTGGATAATGTGAAAACCAACTTTAAGTTAAAAACTGAAAACACAAAATCTTGACCGTAGATTCAAACTCATCTTATCCTACATTAGAGATTTTTCCCAACCTTTTAGTTTCTCTCTCCTGCATTTTCATGCATAACATTCTCTCCCTTCTCTTTTCTCTCTCCTGATTTCTACATTCTTCCTCAAACTCCATGAAATTGGTTCGATTCTTCATCAAATTGGTTCCTATTATCGCCTACGATCTACCAAGTAAGGAAATCGTTTATAATTTTGCTTTATTTTAGCTTTTAATCAATGTTTTTTCAGTTTTTTTTTTTTTTTGGAGTTTTCGTTTTTGATTTTTGTAATTTTCTATTTTTTTTATTTTTTTTGAGTTATTATTTTGCGTTTTTCATAATTTCTTCATATCGTTGTTTTTTGAGTAATTTCTTGAGTTTTTCGTTTTCGATTTGTGTAATTTTTGAGTACTTTGCTTCTGTTTTTTTATTTAATTTTGTAATTTTTGACAAATTTTGTAAGTTTTGTAGGAGTAATTTAACTTTATTTGAGGTATTTCATTCTTAATCGAGTTTCATATGAGTTTAATTATGTTATAATTCAACTTAATTTCTTCGTTTGGCATTCTGAGCTCATCAATTTCATCATCAAATTTTTCTATGTTAATCGATCTTTTCATTGTATATTGATCAATTTCTTAAACTTTTTATCGCTTAATTTTTTATTTTCAATTTGTGTTTGATTTTTCGGCTTAATTTTTTGAATTTGATTTCGATTCTTTCGGCTTAATTTTTCTCAATTGTGTTTGATTTTTTCATTTTAATTTATCAGTTTGTGCTCGATGTTCAATTTCATCATCAAATTTTCTGAACTTTGTGTTTTATTTGATTATTTTGATGATATTTTTCAATTTTGCTGCATTTTATTGATGTATTTAGTCTGATTGTCAGAAATGTGATTTCCTTGCTTTTGTATTGCCGTAGAAATTGTTTATATATATAACCAGCTGCTCGTTTGTTAATGGACAGTAAGTTGCTCGTTTGTTGCTGTGCTTACACACTAGGCTTAGGTGTGTGATTGGGTGAAAGTTCTGCTTGTGATTGTGAGCGTGTTGATTTCACTCCTCTGTGCTGTGATGTGCAGATATGTGATTTTGCCTATTAATGGGTTGTTATATGCTGTGTATAAAAAAGAATGTGATTGGTTAAGTTCTGCTTGTGATTGTGATTGTGAACGATATTTTGTTTAATTCTGCAGTAGATTTGTACATTTTCATTTAAGATTTTATTCGAACAGTAGTGTAGATCATCCATGACAGTCTAGACATTTGAGTTATTGTTATTATTTCACTCAAAAAGTCAGAGAGTTGAATGTTAGTACCAAGTGGTCAATTGTATTGTTATCCTACTGTAGACTTTCTTTTGAAGTAATGGTACCAGAATCTATCTAAGTGCACTCTGATACGGAGCTAGACATGTATTGTTTTGTCAATCATAGCCTCATAGGCTTATATCTATTTTTAAGAATGACTATTATAAACTTGTTACAATTATACATTATCCAGGAAAGATGGAGCAAGTTGGGGCTTTGGGGGGTGTCTTACAAAGTTACAATAACATAGGTGAATAATCAATAATGGTGTTTGTTTACCTTTGCTCTCTTGTTCTGGTTCGTTAGTTATTTGTTATTTTGAACTACCATCGTTTCTTGCTGGATTGTTTATTGAAAATTTTGAGAATAATGTCTCCAATTTGTGTTCTCCTACTGTCGGCTCTCTTTTTGAACGTGCATTGATCAACCATCAACCAACAATGCCAAAAATCTTGTTGGTATGTGAAGTTTAATTCTAGTATGTAGCCTAGATCTGATTGGTGTTTGAAGCTTGATTTGAGTATGCGATATTTATTTGAGTATGTGAGGGTCCGTTTACAGAAAGAAATATTTGGAGATGTCTATGAGTTTAAACCTGTTGTTGCCTCTTCATGAAAATGTCTATTTCAATTAGCTTGTAGAAGCCTTATGTTTTTTAGTGGAAAATATGAATCTAAAATCTGTGTTGGTTTTAAACCTCTACGTTTTTGGCATGTTGAAAGCCTATTAGCTCAATTGGTCGAGCACCGTGTAATCACGGGATGTAGGTTCGAATCCTACATAGACTTTTTTAATACCCTTTATTTTTATATTTAGTGACCTCGGGGTAAATGGTGTCAAATTGATATAATTACCCGAAATTTATATGTAGTTACCTTATTTTCGATATAATGAAATTAGAATCATGAAAATGTTGTAAATTTTGTTTCAGTCACCTTATTTTTGTATATAGCAATCTTTATGTAAATGTTGTCAAAATTGATGTAGTTACCTTATTTTTATATATAGTGACCTTTATTTTTGTATATAGTGACCTTTATGTAAATGGTGTAAAAAACTCAGTCGATATAGTTACCTAATTTTTGCATATAGTGACCTTAATGTAAATGTTGTAAAAATTGATATAGTTACCCTATTTTTGTATATAGTGACCTTTATGTAAATGTGATCAAAATTGATAAAGTTACATTATTTTTATACATTTATGTAAACGTTGTCAAATTGGATAAAATTGTGTTATTTTTTATGTTGTTACCTCTAAATCATTATGTATAAGGAAAAGTTGGAAAACATTTGGCTTTTAAACCGTTAGATCTTGTTAGTAATAATGGATGGTTGAGATTTTCTGTTTTAGTTTTCACCATAAGCCCTGTTTTCAGCGTAACCTCCCCGTATATATATATATATATATATATATATATATATATATATATATATATATATATATATATATATATATATATATATATATATGAAATGAAATTAATTAGGTCAATCATTTTGTTAGAATTGTGAAGTGTAACACCCCTTTTAGAAGGTGATTTATGCTTAGAGTTTTGAATTGAAATGATATATTGGTTTGGGATGGGTAAACTTAGTGCATTGAGTTTGTTTAAGAAAAATTAAATTGCTAATATCTTAGTTCAAGGTTTTAAGCCCTTAATGTATGGGTAATTAGAAACATAAAAAAAAGAAAAAAAAAAAAGGTGGATATTATAATATTCCATATTTTCTAGTGATTATAAAGTGATTGTAGACGTATTTAAATTATAAATAATTATTTAAATTTAATTAACATAGTATTTTTTATAAAAAATAATTTGATTAGTAATGAAGTGAAAGTATATAAAAGCCTTTTCAATGGAGGAATATTGATTCAAACTCTGTAACTTTGTACAACGATTACGAGTTTTGACCAAATTAATCTCATATGAGTCATATCTCATGTCTATAATTTAAACACCCTATTATGAACTTTATTATGTTTCTCTTGAATAGTCCACAATAAAGAAAATATGGAGTATCGTGCTTTAAAACCATTCCAACACGGTACCTATCTTGAAAACATTAAGAGCTTGTATGGTTATCTAGTACTATAGGATGAAATTATGTTTCTTTGAATAGTACGTCCACACTTCCACGTCAATCAAAGAAAATATCACCAGTTAAAGCGTCTTTGCTACGAAGTATTATCTTTAAGGAGATAGAAGTGAAGCATTTGTAAATAGATGGAACCTTCGTCAACATTATTGTAGCCTTCGTCAACATGGAATTATACAAAATAGATTCATAAAATAGACGGAACCTTCGTCAATACTGGTTATGAGTTTTATTAAATAGAGTAAATATTATATAGTTAAAACCTTAGATAAATATTTCTAATCAAACGTAGTACAATTTTTCTCGAAAGAAATCATATTTTATTCAAAAAGGTGGGGCTCGTCTAAAGGGGGCCCTGAGCCAAGCTGCTCCCCCTTATCGCTCTGGATATGGAAGATTGATATAGTTATGTATGTTTTCGTAAAAAACTATCTTATAAAAATTAGAATTTTTGAGAAACTCTACCTATATAAAAAATATTATTTTAAAATTATCTAATAAAAGGTAAAATTGTGTAAAAGACTACTTGTAGCCGGATTTCCACAAAATATCTCCAAAATTGCCTGCTTTGGGGTTGAAGGGTGGTTTCGACTTGAAACTGCCTCCATCTAGTCAAAACCACCCTTCAACTTAGAGCGGGCAATTTTGGGAATGTTTTGTGGTTGGTCAACATCGAAGAACTAGGTCAACGGTGAAAATTCGGCCAAAGGTAGTCTTTTGCAACATTTTACCTAAGAATAAGTAGTTTCTTACAACATTTTTTTTGTTAGGTAGTTTTTTACATATTCTAGGTTTTATTAGGTAGTTTTTGACAAAAAAAAACCTTATAGAAAAATATATGTATAGTCACAAATTCTTATATGTGGTTGGTCACACCATCAAAGGAGTTACTTCGTTAGTGTAATAGGGGTTACGTTGTCAGTGTTAAAAAGGTATTTTTTTAGTGTTATAGGGTTACTCAATCAGTGTTATAAGAATTACTTGGTCAGTGTTATAGGGGTTACTTTGTTACTTAATAAGTGGTCACACGCAAGACCGGCTGATGTATATTATATTACATCGAATTATACAAAATACTTCCCTCGTCCTCCAAATATTGCACGAAGCTAACAAGATTTTGCATGACTAGCTAAATATTTCCTTATATATAAATTATAATATATAATTGAAGAGAAGTGTGTAAATAGTGTTAAATAAAATTGCGAATTCTGTAAAATATTAATTGGGAGAATAATGGACATCTTGTTCTCAAGTTTAAAACCTTGACTAGATCTACCAATAGTGTACTCTGTACTGTTCCTTTTGATACATATACTCATTAATAGAATTGTTTATAAAATTAGGCTAAAGCCCACATGCACATTACAACATAGGAAATAAGCAGAGTGAAGCAACAAGAATTAATTAGACATAATTTAACGACATATATAAACACAAATAGCTTGGAGGAAAGAGACACTTGCTTATTAGCAACTAACACCAATCGACGACCTACTAATTAAGCAGGAAACTGCGGAGGACGATCGTCTCAACAGTAACGCCTGGGCCAAAGCCGAATAAGACACCCAACTCCAATCCATCCCCGGTGGTTGTCTTACCTTCCTCTAGCGACCTCTTACGCATCTCATCCATTATGAATAACACACTTGCACTCGACATGTTTCCAAACTCTCTTAAAACATGCCAAGTAGTTGTTAGTTTGTTATCCTTAAGCCCAAGTTTAGATTCTATTTGGCTTAAAATAGCAGGTCCTCCAGGGTGAACGATCCAAAATATCGAGTTCCAGTCTTTGATCCCAAACGGATCAAAGGCTTGAACAAGAGATTTCTCAATGTGATATGATATTAGCCCCGGAACAGTCGGAAGAAACTGAACTTCTAGCCCAACTTCTCTAAGGTGACCCCCGATAGCCCCTTCTGAGTTAGGCAGTATTGTCTGTGTTGTCGAGACTAGCTCAAAGATGGGTCGTTCGTTCAACGACTCATCAGGGTTTGCACCCACGATCACAGCCGCAGCTCCATCTGCAAAAAGGGCTTGAGCCAACATGAACTCCATGTCGGTCTCAGAAGGCCCTCGGAAGAAAATGGTCGCGCTCTCAGAGCACACGACTAGCACTCGAGCACCAGAGTTGTTCTCTGCGAGGTCTTTGGCTAAGCGAATGGAAGCTCCACCGGCATGGCAACCAACTTGGCTAAGCATGTAACGCTTCACTGAAGGGTTAAGGCCAAGAAGCCGTGTCAGCTGGTAGTCGGCGCCAGGCATGTTGACTTCTGTGGAAGTGCAGAAGATAAGATGAGTGATCTTGTTTAAGGGTTGCCCCCACTCTTTAATGGCCTTCAAAGCCGCCTCTTTTCCGAGTTTGGGAACCTCCTTAGCGAGTATGGCTTGGCGAATGTCCAACGAGGAAGCATTGTAATCGCACAATTGCGGGTACTCTTTTAAGATCTCCTCAGATACGTTTAAGTGCCGCTTGTTGATCATTGTTTTCTCACCTGAAATTCATATTTTTACAGTAATACATTTGTGTCATACATACATATGAGCAAGAGGGTTTTGTATATTAAACAAAGCTAAATTGTTGAACAGTCCTTTAAAAATAAAATATGCACATAGCTTGTAAAAACTCAAACAAGGAAACCTGTTTAAGCTAATTGATCATTCATAAATGTTATATGAAATAATCCGTAAAAAGATTTCTAAGTTAATGCGATTAGATATAAAGAGGTGATAATGGTTAGTGCTAGAAGTGATCGACATTAGCTAATTAATTGACTACTGCTCACTTAAATGTGTTAATTTAATTTATTTTTTTTGTTGTGTCATGAAGATAAAGTCTAAATAAACCATATATGTAAGCAGGAGAATAATTATTTTTAACTATTTGGAGAGGACTAAAGGCAAATTATTATAGAAGGGATTAATACCACCATAAATTTTTTTTAACAAACTAAGCTAGCTAGTGTCAATGTTTTTTTTTAATTTTTTGTGCAAGGAGAATATTAATTGAAGAATGCAAAATTAGGAAAAATCACCATCAAAATATTTTAACGAACTAAGCTAGCTAACTTAGTATTTATATTATATTTTATTTTTTAAAATATTTTGTGCAAGCAGAGTATTAGTAGAAAAATGCAAAATTAGGAAAAGCATACATATGCGCTTGTATTTGGCCTTGAGATTAGTCATATGTTCGCTATTAGTAACACGGAAATAGTGGTCAGCACAATCAGCTTGGTACACAACATTTGGTGGATTAGCGGTGCCAATGGCTAAGATATTAGCTAGGGCTTTTGTTCTTTGGCTGTTGAAGGTTTCATTGACAGCCACTTGTGCCATCGTATCGCGACTGAAAGGCTGATAGGTGTGGGAGAAGAGTTTTGTTAGTGAGGAGAAAGATATGACTCGATCGACCAAGATTGGTTGTACTGATAGGCAATTGCTATGGTGTTTATATAAGGGCAATAAAGTTACCTTTACGTCCTTCCTTCTTAACACAAAAGGTGTTGCATGCATTTAATTAAGTGACGTACACAGAGGTTGAGAGATAAATATTTATTACGGTTTGTGGATTGAAATTTTTTTTTAATCAAATCATATTTTTTTAGGAATTTCTTTTTTTAAATAATTTGAGGCAATGAAGGGGAAAAAAAAAATAATACTCCATACTAATAATACAACATGTTCCATCCTCATATGACTTTTAAAAAAAAAACCTCATATCATAATGTATGAGATTTGTCATATATGGAAACATCTAGTTAATGCTATAACTACGAAATACTGTTGTAATTAAATGTTGAGCCCAGGCATTAGTAATAAATGGATTGATTGTTCAGCAAGAATCAAGAGAGTCCAAGTTATAGAGCTAGTCGCCTAGTCCCTACCCATACTGTGCTACATATCAGATCAAATTAAAGACATGAAAATTTTCATGTCAGTAGGGCGGCGGCTAATGTGCATGATGTGTGTGTCATGGCCCATGGCTAGCCTTGTTAGTGGAGATTTTTCAGTTTAACCTTAGGATACATATTCAGCCCTGTCGCTGGCCCAGGGCAACTGGGGCGACCGCCCTGGGCCCCCAAAAAAAAAGCCCACGTTGCTGAAATGAAGGACTGAAGTTTGAAGGCCCTAAATAAAAATAAAAAAATTAAAAAAAAAAAAAAAACTTTAAAGAAGCGTATATTTCTTTCCCCTGACTTTCAAATGCAAATCCCTAAAATCATAAATTAAGATATTCAAAGAAACGATTTCTTTCCTAATATTCAGACAATCTCCTCAACTTCTTTCCCCTAATTTTCGGCCATAATATTCTCTTTCCAAAGTAATTTGATTTCTCCAAAAAAAAAAACGTTCAATCTTCAATCTAATCCCCAAGATGTATTTGTATACAATTTTCAATTTCAGTCAGATGAATTGGGGTTGTTTCGAGAATCGAGATTCAATTGAAGAGGAAAACGATCAAAAACGGTAATTTTGCTCATCAATTTTCAACGGGATTTTGCCTAATTATATATAATACTTGCATATACTCCTTAATTGATCAAAGTATCTCATCTAATTTTTATTTTTTTTTAATTTTTATAGCTGTTTCCGAGTTGAAGAACAATCAGAAGTTGGGGAAAAAAATTGGGAAAAAAAATTCAATTAATTGGTTGAGTTTGGTTCCTTGGTGAAACAATGGCTTCCGACTTCCGAGTTTCAGATTAATTGGTTGATTTTCAACGGTAATTATATTCTTATTTGTTTGATAAATTGATTTTCCTAAAAATACTAGTGTATAACATGTACTGTATTTTCAGAATTTCAGATTTGAGATATTATTTGGAATGCAATTGTTCAAATTGAGGCATTGAGCAGAATTTGGTGTTAAATCTTCAATTATCAGGTGTTTTTGCTCTTTTTTTATACTTTTATTAATTTTCATTATTTCATATAATGTTGCCTAGAAGATATTTATCTGGTAATGATAAGAGGAAAAAAACAAAAAGAGCTGAAGAGTTAATAGAATCTCAAAAGGGTTCCATTGACAAATTTTTTACTAAAGTAGTACAAGTAGACGAGTCATCTCATGAATTGGGGGAAAATGAAAATCATGAATAAGCTAATGAGGACTTAAACAATGTTAATAATGCCAATGACCCGAATGAGAATGCGACTCATATGAAAGAACCAATGGATGCACCAAATGCATCCAATGTTAATAATATAGGCATTGATGAACAAGTAGTCCCTCCTTTCGATTTTTATGATCCTAATAATTGGGGTAATCTTGACAATAAAGGGAGGGATATTTTAATTGAAAAAGGACCCATAAGAGACTTGAACCTTGTGTTTCCAATTGATGACAAATTAATTGAAAAAGGACCCATAAGAGACTTGAACCTTGTGTTTCCAATAGGGCCCCAATTTATATCTTTGCCTCGGGCCACTAAAATCTCAGAAACGTGGCTGTACATATTTAATTGTTGGAAGCATGAAGGAAGAAAAATATGTGAACAAATATTTTAGAGATATAAATGTTCGCAAGCTATTCTTTTCTTTTTTAAAAAAAAAAATAAAAAATTAACATTCGCAAGCTATTCTTAAGAGTTTTAAAAAGGGGGCATGTAACATTAATGATGACAAATAGGTAAAAAAAAATAAAATAAAATAAAAAATTAAATGATATAATTGTACAAAACTTGTCATGTCATCTAATTTTATTGTATACTAAAATGTAACCATTATATTTAGTTTATGAATATAGATGACATGACACATATTAAGACTTAAGTGTCATTTAGTGATTTATTGTACACTCAACTACCTAAAATACTCTCATATTTTTCTATTTATATTGGAACAACTACCAACAATAATTCGAATTTTACTTCATTCATCAAAATAATCCCAACTATCGATTATTTTTGGGAAATTCTTAATGGTGATCCCCAAATTCTGCTACACACCAATGGTGACCTCTGTAAACACCTAAACATGTCTCCCCAAAACCAAAACCGATGATGAACATCCTTTCACCGTCATTATTGGGCGGGTCGAGTATTTAATTTCGGGAGTGCTTAAAACCCATGTTCTGTCAAACATATTCAATCTACAAATCAGTCCAAGCATTTATTCAAACTCAGTCCAACTCACATTTTAGCCCAAACCCTTTTTAATTCATTTCATGTTATTTATTAATTTAGCCCGGTTTATCTAAATAAGCTCGAAACTCTGAAAAGACACCTAAAAATCACATACTTAATGATTAAGAATTAGGGTTAAAATGAATCTGGACGGATTTAGGGCAGAAACGGACACCGTGTCATGGCAAACATACCGCGTGACGGTATTGTATACCGTGTCACGGCATCCTGCACCGTGTCATGGCACACATGCCGTGACGCGGCGTTCAACTAGGGTTTTTCCACGGCGTCTTATCATTTCTAGGGTTTTGTGCATCACTCTACTCATTCCCTCTACAAATACGAGGCTGATTTCCTCAATTTCGGGGCACCAAAAATCATTCTCTCTCTCCTTACACCAACAATCATTATCTTCTCTCTTTAGCCTACATACTAGCCACCCTATTCTCTCATAATACTTCCCCTAAGCACTCTAAGGAGTCCATACCTGACCCGAAGTTCTATACTTAAACCAAGGCGTGAAAGGTAGAATTAACTAAGGGTTTGGACCAAATCAACTCCACTTTTTATTTAATTTAATTGTTTCAATATGATTTATATTTTTATTGAAGTTACTAACAGTTTATTCATGATGTAGCAATTCAAGGAAACGCGGAACATGAGTAGTTAACTCACTTAATTACTCTTTTTATTATTCTTGTTGCTAGTATCATGATTAGGGTTATTATTATGCTTTGATTTAACTAACGTTATTATTGCTAAATTGCTTCAAACATTGATGTTTATTCTATTATATTTATTGATCACCGTATTGCATGTTTAAAGGGAATATGTAAGTGAATATCACACCTAATAAGATAATTTGGACGACCGGTTTAGGTTCCTTATTAATCTTGTTGTTAATTGAAGTGATCACGATATTATAGAATTATATGTTTCATTAACATTAAACCAATTTAGCTTAATATTAGTTTGGAGCAAATTGAATCTTTGTTTGCATGCCTTTGAGATTGCAGGCTTTTGGTGAGAGGTGAATAGCTAGGTCGTTGGACTAACTACCCTCTACCAAACAATATTTATATACCTAAACCTACACCAAACAAGTCTAGTGATAAGTAAAGGGTCGATCCGCAGAGACGGCGAATTATTATATACACTACCGCTACTAAGCTAGGTCAAAGGATATGGGGGAAGAGAGGACTAAATCTAAGGATAGAAGACTAAAAACTAAGGAAAGGAACTAAGAAACTAAATCACTAGGGAAGACGAATCAAGGCAATCAATGTGACAAGCACAAGCATAGCAATGAACACGGACATTCTCAATAACTTGAAAGGGGCGAAGCTCAATCATCTAGGTCTCTCCCGAGCACGCTACACAATCAAGCACCCAATCCCGGCCAAGGGCTCGTGATCAACTCAAAGGGTTCACTTCTACCTAATTAGCTCTTTCCCAAGCAACTAAATGGGTAGCAATTAGATCATGCATTCAACCGGCCAAAGCGAAAGCAAGCATTACACATACCTCAATGAGCACATCCAAATCACTAAGAATTAATCCGCACACACCACTATACTAGCACTAATCAATCTCAAGCAAACAATCATCAATAATCTAATTGGTCAAGTCGATAATATGGAGAATTGCCTAACAACCTAGGTCACTCCCGCACACACTAGGCCATTAAACTCTCAACCCCGCCTATGAGGTTGTGGTCAACTAAACAATGAAATTCTTCTATTAAGCTAGCTCACTCCCGCATAACTAGCACAATAGCGATTAAATCATGACATCAATGGGCTAGAAAGACATCAAGAATTAAGACCTTCATTTTTAGTTCAATACATCAAAAATTCCAATTAAACCATCAAGTAAGTGTTCATCTTGCTCATCAATCACTAATCATCCCCAAACCTAGTTAACAATCTACTCTAACATAATTAAACTAACAAAATCAAAGACATTAACACAAACTAAACTAACAAGAACAACAAACATTAACCAACAAATAGGAACAAGAGAGAGACTAAGAATAAAACCCAACAAGAAGAACAAATTACCAAAACTACTATACTAATCAAGCAAATAACTAAACAAAGCAAGAATTAAAGAAAGCAATAAATGAGATAGAGTTTAGAATGCTCATTAGATTTATGAAGAGTAATCCAAAACAATGTCACTTTGCATCTTCATCTTCTTCAATCCTCCATTAAAGCTCTTCACTTTCTCTCTCTAAACTACCCTAAATTACTCTTAATCTACATTACAAAGTATAAAAACTAAATCTAAGCCTAATTTATGTAAAGATTGATGGAGAGATGTTAGGGTTTAACCCCTCAAAGAGGAGAGAGAAAACCCCAAAGAAACCCCCAATCAAAACTTGGCCAAAAAGAGGAGAGGAAGAAGCGTTTAAAAGACCCGTAGCTGCTCGTGCGCGCCGGCGATAGAGGCCTCCGCGCCCACGCACTGGGATTGGCCTGGCAGCGACATTCATTTTCAAACGGCCATAACTTCTTTTCTAGGAGGCTTCTGGGGGCGTGCGACCTACCGTTGGAAATATCTTCAAGTGTAGTTTCCAATGCAACTTTAATCACCTCAATCCAATTTGTAGATCAAAATTTATGGCCAAAACAGTGAGCAAAGGTCGGTTTGTGCGCCCACTGCGCGCCCGCGCGAGCCATCTACAGAATCTTTAACACTTCATACACCATTTGCGCGCCCTCTACAAGCTCTCTCACTCCTATCTACAGCAAGCTATAGCCTTTGTTATAGAATTGCTTGTGCACTCTTTCTCGAGGATCGTGTCGGGCCTCCCGAACGGGCTCCTGAACCTTCCGAGGTTTCCTATTTTCTCGATGTCCACCTCTTTGGCCTATAAAACACAAGGAATAACACTAAAATAGCACAAATAAGAAAATAAGAGGGGAATACGAAGGGATTAGCGTAATGATCGGAAAAACGGGGAAAACCGAGCAAAATAGGCTTAAACAAGCGACAAGCGTAGGGAAATGACATGGAATTGAGGCCTAAATAGTGGCATAAGTTCCACTTATCAAATTCCCCCGCACTTGCCTCTTGCTTGTCCTCAAGCAAGATCCGCACACAAGTTAGAAATAAGAGCAGACAACTAAGACTAAAAAGAAAGGAGAAGCACAAGAATATACACTAACTCACTTTCGTAGGAATCACGGTTGTTTTTAGCATAAACAACAAGCCATTTAAACCCCAAAGTCTCCTATGAGGACGAGTATGCTCTCGTAAGGGTTTCCAAAGAGTTTTACCCTTAACTCTACATACGAAATACCACAAACAAGGCAATGCATAAAGAAGCAAAACAAACACACAAGTGAAACGTTCTTGGTAGATTATAGAAGAAACAAGCACCAATGAATACATCACTTTCTAAACAAATAAGGGTATGCACGTTCCAAGATGTTAGGGTTGAAAGAAGCATAGACTAAGCTAAGCATAGAGAACTAATGAGTGCACGTTTCACCTTTTCCCAAACTAGCTAGCCACGTTCTCTCCACTAGCTTCAAGTAAACCCTTAGGCGGGCTTCTCATGATTCCTCGAAGTAACCGGAAAAAGATAAAGAAATGAAAGACAATGAGAAGGTTATCCCAACATCTTGGCTATGCACTCCCGCTCTATAAGCTTGAAATCTATCTCCCTCCACCGATAAAGACTCAACCCTATAAGGTCTATAGGTCTTTTATTAGTTGTAACGATAGGCTCGGGGTACAAGGTAGGGAAAATTTTGAAAATTTTGGTGGTAATTCCTAAGTGAAGCAAAAGGGTGATCAAACCTCAAAAACAAACTCATGAAGTCACCAAACATCAAACAAACATACCAATTCCCCCACACTTATTCAACAAACACACATTAGCAAGACTAAGAATAACGACTCCCCCACACTTATACGGAGCATTGTCCTCAATGCTCAAACACGAGGGAGATAAAGTAAACTTCTCTCTTTTACTCTCTTTCTTCTTTTTTCTCTCTCTCTCTCTCTCTCTCTCTTTTTTTTAGAACGGCTTTTTAAATGCATTTGCTTTTATTTCACATAAAAGAGAACATTTTTACTCATTTGCTTGACCAAATAACTTATTACTTTCTCATTTGCATTCAAAATCGACACAAAACAAACTCTCACACCTCACATGCTTCACATAAACTAAATTGTGTTATGTAAACGAAAGGTCATTGGGTTTGTAAAGAGGTTCATAGTCAAGAAAGGTAAATAGGCTCAAAGGGTTAGCAAGAGGGGAAAATGTAAATAAAAACCAAATTTGTAACAAAACAAAAGGAGAAAAAGAAAATGAAAAATGCCTATGTCTTTCCCTACAAGGTTCGGTCACGGTCTCGGGTAGATAGAAATCAAACTCCGGATTGAGAAATACATAGCCAAGGATCCAAATATGCCACTCAACAAAATTGATGAAGGCTAGAACAAGTAAACCTCACACAGGATTTGTATTACAATTACCAACCAAAGGGGGTCATATCCACTAAGGAAAGCAACACCATTCTTACCACAACCCATGGATTAAGGCTACAAGTATACCAAAGTTCTTAAAACCACTATCTTAGCATTAAAATATGTTTAATTCAACCCAAAACACTCTCAAACCATGCATACCATTACCAATTAGGAAGGAATACATTCAAGGACACAAGTTCAAAACGTTAAGTCCAAAACAAGAACGAATCAAGGTACATATGCAAACTTGCCTTGTTTCCCTAAGAAAAGACTTTATACAAACAAATATTCACAAAACAAGAAAAACTTAAGAATGTATATACAATTGCGCAAGAAGAAAGCATGATCAATATAGCCATGTATACCAAAAGTCAATTTAACAAGGCACTCATGGCCATCAAAATATAGAATAACCAATGTCAAGAATAAATAAACTTTGGCATGCGTGGAGAATAAATCAAGCAATCTATGGACCAAGAATGGGAATAATAAAAACAACAAAACCACAAATGCGTATCTTTCAAACCACAAACAAATAAAAGGGTAAAGGAATAAAAGAGAGTAATATGAAAGAGTGAACCAAGTGTTAGGTGGGTGTAGAAACCCGCAAAAGAACTCATTTTCCTCATTTCCATCAAATGGCTCGTTGTTTCCTTTCGTTGTCCCTTAATCGTGGTTGCCTTTTATGATCCGTGAACGGTTTACAAGTTCCTTAAAAAATTGTTGGCGGCTCCCTACTTTTTCTTTATCCCTAATCGTGTCCCTAATCGTATATATGTCAATTCCCACTTCCTATGAGTGCTAAGAATATTCACAACATGCTTAACGTAGGCGCGCTTCGAACGACGCATACAATTGGCGACTCCACTAGGGGGGATTCTTGGTTATTTATCGATTTGAGTGATCAGTATTTAATTGAGATGAGTGGATGAGACTTGAAAGATTCTTGAATTGTATTCCTGTGATTAAAGTGGCATTTTTGTATATGCATTGACGTTTAACGTTGTTTTTAGATTCGTCCCGTAGGAAATTTCTGAATAACCTGATTGCGAACGAAAAAACAGGGGCACTGGATTAATTTCC